TATGGAACAGCACAATTATTTAGATATCTATGGGTCCAGTGCCCTTTTTATACATATGACTTATATAATCAAAAGTCTGTTATTGATTCCAACAGTTATTACTTCATAATTGATATATGACATAATTTCAGTCACAGAACGATTCTAACAAAATTTCGTCCCTATTTTATTGTTGTAAATAGGAACAATTTTTGCTATTTTTTGTTCTGGCAAATCGAAATTTGTTTGCTGGCTTAATTGGATGTTGTTTGCTTTCTTAATTTGCATATCGTCATTTGCAAGTTCCTTTTGGCTAGGAAGGAGTATCTCTCCCTCGAATACATGTCGGACTTGTTGAAGTTTCATCGCGTAATGGAATGAATTAGAGAGAACATGACAAAGCCACATATTGAGCTAATGCGGAGAGCACCTTTTTGGGGGTTGTTCATATGTTATTTGGATGGTTTTATTATTGAAGATGCATGCAAGAAATCAAATAATGATATTGTTTCTATTTTGAAATGTTTTGACAAAGGGAAAAAGGCTTTCGTTTTTGGGGAAAGAATTGAACGGATAACAGGAAATGATATGTCTTTACTGTTTGGGTTGCCCTATGTAGGAGAAGAAATCAATTTTCAGCACTACAAGAGAATAGTAGGTAGTGGTTTCATGGAAAGACAGCTTGCTGATTACAAGGATTTGAGCAAAAGGGTTTTGGAGGAACAACTATTGAGGGTGGTTAAGCTGCATGGTAGTGTGGAGGAGAGTGATTTCGTGCGTTTTGTTTGTCTATATTTCTGTATGACACTATTCTTTTGTAATAGTGGAAACAACCTGATGAAAAAAATGATTGCGTATGTCAACAATTTGGAAATGATGCACATATATGCATGGGCGACTGCAGCAACACAGAACCTAGAGAACTCTCGTTTGAATATGAACTCTGTGGAAAGTGTGTGTGGTTGCTTAGTTGGCTTGCTGGTAAGACGATCTTCCTTTCTTTAATGGCATGTCATCTCTTATTATAAGATATAACAAATTGGTTCTTAAATGTGTTTGGAATGCTCTCATTTGTGTGTTTTCTTTATTTTATTTTTACAGTTTTGGGTCTGTGAACGTACAAAGTTAATTCAGCCCACAAAAGAAAGAGAACATATTTCCTCTAAATTCGTGAAATGGAATTTGTTGGAGCTATATGCAAAAATGAAATGTGTTCCAATTCATACGTTACAGGTACAAGTATTTATTCTTCTTTTCTTTTTTTTTGTGCTAGTTCTGTTTTTGTATAACTGACTCATTATGTTTCATTTTTAATTACGTAGGAGATTAAGCCAAAATATGAAACCAGTCCCACAATCAAAGGTACCCAAATTATGGAAATAATTTCAAATAGTGATGGGAAGATAAGCAAGACACATATAAATTCTATCGATGACTTTGATCCTATTAAGGCATTTCAATTGCTACCTACTCAGTTGATGGAATGCAATCAGGAAGGACCTTCAAATAGTGAGATGGACATTTATGATATGCAAAGAAAACTGCAAGAGGTCACTACAATGTTGGATGTGGAATGTTTGAAGAACAAGGATCTTTTTACAGAAAATGAAAGGTTGAAGAAGGAAATTGTGAAGCTTCAAAAAGGAAAGGGAAAAGATGAGTCACCAGAACAATGCAATATGATTGTGAGGATGGGGGCAAGGACAAGACAACCTCAGGTT